GCCCGTGCCTCCCGCAGCTGAGCCCGCAGCCCCAGCAGCTCCGCGCCCCGCTGCGCCAGCTCCGCCTGCGCCTCCTTCAGCTGCTGCTTCAGCAGCGAGATCTCCCCCGACTTCTGGCACACCTGCGGGGACAACGGGGCTCAGGCGCCGGCCAGGACCCCCCAGCCGGAGCCTGCACCCCCCGACTCGCCCAGTGCCATCAGGCGACTCACCTCCCACTTGGTCTCCTCCAGCCGGGGTGCCATCTCAGTGCGCTCGCGCTGGAAGGAGGCGCAGCGACGCTCCAGCAGCTCCCGCTCCTGCAGCAGCTGGGCGAAGTCCTCCTGCAGCTGCTTCTTCTCCTGCTGCAGCTGCAGCACCTGGAGCTGCAGGACCTGCTGCCCTCGCTGCGCCGCCTGGGCCGCCTGCCGTGCCTGGGCCGCACAGCGCTGCCGCAGCCCCTCCAGCTCCTGCTCGCAGCGCCGCTGCTTCTCCTCATACACCTGGGGGGTGGAGGGGGCACGCTGAGGGAGCGCCATGGCACCCCCCCACTTCTGCTGCCCTCCCCAGGATGGGCACCCCCTGCCCACAGGGAGAGGGGCAGCATGTCGCCCTCAAGCAGAGGAGGGGTCCAGAAGGGGTGTGATGTAGTGGTGCCCTCCCTCCTCTGCTCCCCATCCCTCAGCGTGCTGGTTCCCCCAAGTCAGCACCCCCAGAGTCTATGGGGCTCCCCCAGCCCCACCACCAGTGGAGAGAAGCTCCAGGTGCATCCAAGAGAGGGCACCCCAAGATGAGGCACCCCAGTCTGTACAACTGGCCCCCCAAACAATACGAGGGTCGCCCAGGGACTATATAGGACCACCCACGAGTGGGGAAAATCCCCACTCCCAGACCCACAGAAAAAAGTATCCCATACAAGGGTCCCCAAAGGGGCTCCCCCACCCCCCAACGGGGGGGACACCCACACAAGGTGCCCCAGGGAGGGGGACAGGGACAGGACAGGGGACGCCAGTTGCGTACCTGGCAGATGGCCACCTCATTCTCATCCAGGCTGTCACGCAGGAGCCGCAGCTCGGCCTCCCTCTCCCGCAGCTTGTCCTCCAGCTCCCGCACCAGCATGGCCTCCTCGCCGGGCAGGGGCGAGCGCCCGCAGGAGCCGCTCTCCGAGGAGGGCCGGCCCCGGCCGCTCAGCGAGCCCGTGCTCTTGCTGGAGGATGAGCGCCCGCTGTCTGAGTTGGAGGGGCGGCAGCCCCCTGGGGGTTCGGGGGGACCGTGGGGGGTGGCTGGCAGGGCGCCCGCCTCGGGGTGCTGGCTGCAGCTCGTGCTGTAGGTGGGCAGGCTGGAGAGGGAGTTGCGCCCCGAGTCCGAGAGGGTGCTGGCGCGGCAGCTCAGGGAGCCGGGCTTCTCGGCACCCAGCAAGTGGGTGAGGCTCACCTGGCTCTCCGAGAGCCCCAGGCGCGTGCCTGGCTGGGTGCTCAGGAGCTTGGGCACCACC